GAAAGAGTAAGAATGTTGTTACTATTATGCAGTTTTCGTCATTTGTTTGCAACTCTAATGCGAGGTAAGTAGAAAATAGGCCTAAGACGTCGTACCTTCTTCTCCTGGCCACCACCGGGGGTTCCGGCAACCATGGCCAGGTAGGCAATAACCTTCTTCGTGTTCTCAGTCTTCCCGGCACCAGACTCGCCACTGAAGTGTAGGCGAGATACAGTACAAACGTATTACAATACGGTTTATTGGTTTCCAAATAGTTTCACTCCTGATAGAATCGTATTAGAACCTCACTGACGATCAGGCCATTACTGAGATTATGATTCTGTGTCTTTGTCACATAAAATATTAAGTTTCCTTACGTGATGAGGCAAGATTGGCACTGGCGCTCTGACACCATGTTCTGGTAGGCATTGTCCACCACGCAGAAGAGATGGGGAGGCACCTCCGTACGCCTCTTGCCGCGGTACTGGTCCACCACGTTTGCCGTATAGATGGGCAGCAGCTTGAAGGGGTTGATCACGACGCAGAAAAGGCCGGAGTAGGTCTGTAAAAACAATCAGATGTGACTTTGACGAAGATTCTGTTCCTAATGTAGTTGTATACTAAACAGCTCGTAATCGAAATACAGTACACTGAATCAGATCTTTAAGGCTGTAAGTTTTAGTTTCACAGGTGCCATCGGTGAAACATTCAAGGGACACTGGTTTTGTTTTGTTTTTTTCTTTGAAAGAAATCGTTGCTTGTCCCATGCTCAAAGCGTAAAGAGTTGATGTGGATGTAGATCACAGTTAGAAAAGGATACTCACGTAGATGAGAGTGTTCTCATAACGCTCCCTCAGGTTACCCAGCACAGCGGCCTCGTGCAGGAAGGTCATGTTCACCATGTCCTCTGCGCAGGCGAACTTGGAGGGGTTCTGCTGCAGCAGCTTGGCCTTCTTGACGACAACAGTCTGTTGGTAGAGAAACAACACGGGATTGTATGTTACCGTACGTATCAAAATGAATTAAGGAACCGGTTTTCTACATTCGATAAGTAACATGTCCATGGTACCCTTCTGATTATGATTCAACCACTTGAGGGTTCAAACAGCACTACATGTAAATACACCGTCTCTCACTTCGGTATTAGAGGGTACTAGATTATCCATTCTCATTGCTTTTATCACGAACTATTTGTGAACACACCTATTATCGGTTGTTTTCGTTTTGTCTTGGTGTTGGTTTGATTTTGTTGTTTTCCCTTCTTTTTAGCTCTAGGAAAATTTGCCTTGGGGGTTTTCGATTTGACCCATGTTGCTTTCAGTTATTTTCCCGGCTGTTCTCTGTAACTGGTCAGATCGACTTACCGCTCCCCCTGCAGCTACGCAGGTGACGTCATCACCTTTCTCGCTCTTGGCTTCGACCTTGATGAAGATTTCCTTCTTGTCAGGAGCCCAGAAGTTCTTCTTGGGATCATACGGAGCCATTTTTAGCTTCCGCATCTCGTCTGGTTTCCCCGCGAGGAACCATTCGGACGGCTGGTCCATGAGACTGGGACCGTAGGCTGGCATGGTGGCTCTTTGGTTGGAGGCTCAGACCAAGGAGAACTAGAGTGACTGCAGCTGGGGGGAAAAGGAGCATGTTGAGGACTCGACAAATGTTTGCAGTGACATTAATGTTTATGCCAATCAATCTCTTTTCTGGGCAATCAGATTGGGTTCCGAATCTTTCGCTTTGGTTCTAAAATTTGAATAGCTGCTTTCTATTATTATAATAATTAGTAGCTGCATGCTTCAGAAGGAACGGTAATATATTGACATTGCTATCGTTCAGAGTAGCGGTGGATTCCTCCAGACCCCGAACCCCGAACAGACTATGATAGGGTAGGTTAACTAAACGTTGTCGGTGTCTACGTACATCACAACTTGTCAACAACGTATTGTAACCTTCTACCTCATGCCCGCAACATGCACAGTATGGATCAAGTTTATAACGGCAAGCACAGGCACTTGGCATTTTGACTTGTATATATACTCTTACCACACGTGCGGTTCAATGTTACTGATAGGTATACCGTAAAAACGTTTATGATTTTCAATGCAAAAACTACTGAAAAAAAAAACAACTTCTATACAATGGACATTGTACCACATCACTCACCTTCAACGGGCAAAGCTGTGAATATACCGTTGATTATCGGAGCCTTATATAAGGGATCTCCATGGAATAATTATACCGAAAAAGGTATTATCTATAGATATCTAGATAGAAAAAAGATATTCTGTTGGTCAGACATTTAGTACGACATTTGGCTATTGGTTGATTCTTAATGTTGCGGTCAAGGGTAACGTATAACGTCAGGGAGGCGAACTTGACTGATGCGCGCAGCAGCTGTGTCGGCAGTATGGCACACTTGGCAGTTTCAGCAGCTAATAATACTGATAGAAAAACAACGATGGCATATTTTACATCGTCTGTTGTATCTATTACCAGCGTATATTTGTTACTGGGGGTGTCTCGCAGCAGGTGGAAAGAGTCGAATGGGTCAAATGGCACTATCCAACAGCTGGCGCTACTCCAAGTACAAAAACAATATCGCACTAGACTACATTTTCTAGATTGTGCGATATATCCAACGCTGAAAATTAGGAGGAGGTAAGTAAATGTCAGTAGTTAAATGTTCTACAGTGACATGATGTTAGCTTTCAGTTACAGTGTATAGTTTCAGCCGTTAACACTTCAGTACTAACGTTAGATATTGGAGTTATACTTGAAGCATTACAAACGCCTATTGCTGGAACATACAATATACATGTGTGTTGAACTTGGCTTGTCAGTCAACTTGGTGTTACTCGATTATATATGTATTATTTCGGGAAATGTTTATGTTATGTCAGTCATGGCGACTATTTATATTTTTAGTGAGACAATGTTTAGAGTGTAAGCATCCATTTCAAAAACTTTTGCTCATCCGAATGGTTCAGTACCTGTACGTTTCTTTTCCCAACCGTCAGAACAGTTCTCAATAATCTTAGTACATATATGATTTATTTGGACCGGTCTTTTGACTATACTATTTCAAAACATCATCGGGAACATTCACCGTGGCAACGCTTATGCGAGTTTTTATTACTTACTTGTCCATTTTCATTGCCGTTAGCAGTGGCATCTTTACCAACTAAACGTAGGCGGGCTACCATAAACTCTTACAGTTAAATTTGATTGTGACCTGTAGTTCAAGTGATGTCTTAGCTTTAATCATCCTTAGTCATTAGCTTTAGTCCTAAGCTCTCGTCAGTTGCGTATAGATCTATGCGACATGGCCGGGCCTGTCCATGCCACCATCCGGTCCTGCAACGTTGACCTTTGGTACATGAATGTCAAAAATGCCGAAGGCCTCGCTGAAGCCGACATTCCTGTTGCTAAATATACCTCGCAGTAAAATCTGGAATATTGTGGGGGAAGACGAGATCGCTGAATGGGTTTTGTTGAGGCGTCGCTCAATGCAATTTAGAGAGGTCGTTTGGCAATCCACGCACTGTTTGGAGGCACATGTACAACATGTATTCGACGGACTTTTGTACAAATAATTGAAAGCAAAGGGCTAAAAATGACTAAAAACAATTGCTTCAAGTCAGTATTGTCGTGCTTGAGAAAACACAGGTCAATTAAACATGGGGGGATATAGTAAGGAACCTACGGTTATACTGTGTGTGAGACAGTTACTCGTGATTGTAATTTAAAAATAGTGCATAAACTCCATTCTTCTGTTTTTAGATAGGCCCCATTTCTTTCTATGCATTTACGCACAGTCAGATGAAAGGGCCTTACCATGACCGTGATAGGAATTATTCTTGTACGTACGCTTTTCTTCTGACATATGTCTGTTATTCTTGTACGTACGCTTTTCTTCTGACATACATGTATGTCTGTTTAGACGATACATTGGGTTTACATTATTTTCAATGTAAGGCGCACTGAGGACTAGGTGGGTTAGTGTTGAATCCATGCCAGCACAAGGATGGACACAGTCGGCGCCGGATGTCATTCTCGGTATGCTGCCTATGCCGCTATATTGGCATGTCCTCCTGTCCAAACAGTTGGCACAGCGTCTTACACAGTAACCCGCATATTCCTGTCGCCAGGCAATATCTGGCAGAGTCGGTGATCTGACAAACAGTTCACGACGGTAAGTGTTGTGATATCTGCTTGGCAAACCTACTTTTGTCACTTTTTCATTTAAATGGTGTATGATTATATCTGTTTCTTCGCATCCGAAGATGAGAGAGAGAAGCTTATCCTCCTATGCAAGCTTTCGTGTGGCTATGCAGCCAAATTCTCGATCTGCATGTCCTGCTGCAGGTTGAGCATGTTAAGCCCTGTGTGGGTGGTCACCATACAGTTGCGACTTTCCTGCGCCCTCCTCTCCTCGTCTCTTCAACTCTTTATTGCATGGTCTAGTATCCCTTCGTACCTAATTGTGTAAACAACTACTACCGGTTGTATATGCTTGTGGTAAACATCTAATTGTGGTTGCTTGATCACCCACTGTAGGTCTATCCTAGCCGTAAGCGTACATCGTTGGTTGCACCCTTCTGGTAACTCTCCAGTGCCGGTTCGTAGCCGGCTGTGGAGACCGTCTGATAACTCCACACCACGAGGAACTGGGGCTTACCTCCTGGTGTTTGAGACCAGCGCTGTACGCTTTTATATCTCGACCTATTCTCCGGCAACTAACAACAGTAATTTACTATTCAAAACAACAACAGTTCAAAAACAGTGAAATTTAGCCAATACTAGGGAGAATAATTGGCCAGGGGAGTTTAGCCATCGTAGAGTTTGGCCGGAAATAAAACTTCCCGCGGACTGACCACAAGTATTCTTCCCTTTTGTGCCGACTTCTACGATCCGTACACCCGTAGGAAGGCCTGTTGGAGGCCAATCTCATTCATGAACAATTGTAATATGTGCCACCCAAAAGACGATGGTTAAGCATAGAATCACAAACTAACAAATAAGAGGGTTTATTCAATAGCAGACGATTCGCTGGCAGAGTATTCAGTGGTACCGGTTGACCATTCCTCTTCTGACGCTGCAGCTGGGGGTATTGTTTGTCTGAGTTCGAGTGTCTGAACGTTCTTGCGGATGGGTACCGTCAAGGAGCAGCAGCCGAACCCGCTGGCAGCCGCCGTGAGCCCGGCGACGTCTGTCACCCAGGCCCGCCGCTCCAGGTCCAAACATTCCACGCCTCGCAACATCCTTCTGTCCCGGGTAGATCTTCCGCCAACTATGAATAACCTCGGCTCTGTGGGAGGGAGGTGGTGTATTACAGATATCAGTACGTAACACCGTTCTTATAGATGAGGTTAAGTTGTCTAGATTAGTTAAATTTCGCAGTCTTTGGTTGATATACTTAAGGTTATCATTAGCATCCCCCCCCCCAGTCGTATCCTTACCCCGATTTGGATACAGAAGATACAAGAATCGTTGGGACCTATGTATTTACCTTTCAGGATCAGGGATTTAGTGAGTGAGTGAGAGTAGATCAGGGATTTAGATAAAACTTAAGTTTGCATTAAATCATGTGACGATGTTGCCTTGTAATAGCCTGGGTACCATCCTACTTGTATACATGTATACGGTTGTGCGCGCTCGAGTGCGGTAGCCCCGGCATACAAGTAGGATGGTACCCAGGCTAGCCTTGTAATTTTTCAAAACGATTGAATGCATTATGTGAGTAAATTTTATTGTAAACTTGCCTAAAGTAGTAACTCCCATGTCGTGTCTTGGAATGCTGAGGTCGGCCACGTGTTCCCAGAGATCATTGTCATCATTGAGAACGTCAATTGCAGACATGCTTCTGCCCTTGTCATCAACGCCACCTACCAGATACAAGCGGCCTTGCACTACAGACATGGCCGCATGGGAGCGGGGCACGCGCAGTGGAGGTAGCTGCTCCCATCTGTACACAGGAAAGAATTTGCTTTCAGTCACAGTTAGGTTGATGAACTTTATCATTATAAAAAAACATTGTGACACCACATGTTGTATACCAAAAGCGCGCCAACTTTATGGATATATCGATAGATATCCCGTTAAAATCAGTTTACCCACACCCACACTGGTCGCAAAGTTGACGCGAGCACAGTTCACACTGTATCAAGCCTACCGATCCAGCTCACGGAACCATGCCTATTTAGTTCTATGACTGAATGAGTTACGTTAAAGATCAGACATGCATGGTTCTGGATAGTCTCCGCGTATCCAAGAACGTAGATCTGCCCCAAGCACGGTTCTGGGTACGCGTGGACTACTAGTATTTAAAACCGTGCCTGAACATATAGCTCGGTTTCTGGATACAACAGTCGCCATGCCTACCTGTCCGTGCCGGGATCATACATCTCCACAACATTAGAAACGACGTCTGGTTCTGTCCTGCCGCCCGCCACGAACAACCTGTCTGTGTGAACAGCGACCGCGGCGGCGAAGCGAGGGTAGAGGAGGGGCGCTGCGTACGTCCACTCGTCCAGAGTCGGATTGTAGTACTCCACGGTACCAAGAACACTGGATGAGAGAACAACAACGTGCGCTATACACGGTATACTCTACAATAACCATTGAAATTCAAACTATGGCAGAAAGTATGAATCTTACAAATACTATACAAAATTGACCTGCCCACAAAAATTTAAAGATACTGTTTGCTGTACTTTGCCTCACTACAGTCAGTGCAACATAAACATTGTTTTGTAGTTGTACATGGTAATGCTGAGCTCTAGAACACGAGATCTTTCTCCTTATGACATACGCATATGCCAATAAAGCTGTTTGATCTGTTGTGCAATTTTCAATTCAAAGCACGACTTGTATAATAGAAATGAAAGAGTACAAATTCCGTAAGGACGGTGCATACCGTTGTTGATCTCCAAGTCCACCCACGACGTACACGACGCCCTGGAGTGCCGCGGCCTGTGCGTACGTTCGCTGGCTGTTCATGGCGGCCACATCCGCCCATTCGTCCGTGTCGGGGTCGTAGCGGTAGCACGTGTCGAGAGGGGTGTACTCCTTACTGGCTCTCTGGGGATTCGTGCCACCTAGAAATATCACACTTGTTGTTACGGTCAGAAGTAGAAGGAATTCGAAGTATAATTTGGGTGCGCGTCGGTATGTTTGTGATAGTGTGTGTGCGCGTGCGTGCGTGCGTGTGTGTGGCCTGACTGCCTAGTTACTTGAAACTGGGAGAATTGAAAAGAATGACATTTTTATGCATATATAATTCTACATGCACTGCCCCGTATGGTACACTGCAATCGTTACGATAGTCTACAAGATGATACCTTACCTATTACATACAGATTGTCATACAGCACGGCGACAGCACTGTGGTCCCGGGCTTCGCTGGCGGGTAGAGTTGTGAGCAGCTCCCACCGGTTCTGGCCGCGGTTGAACTTGTGGATCATGTGACCTTGGGCTCCCACGACCCCCGGGCCCTCGTCCGTCTCACACAGACCGCCGACAACCACAACCGTGTTCTCCATCACTGTGCTGCGCGACGGTCTCGGCAGCGCGACCGGCCCTGGCGTGGTCTGTTCGTTCTCACGGAATGTCTCTCTTGTGGTCTGCCGAATCTTGCCCCTTCTCCGCTGCGGCGTACTAAACGAGACAGTCTTTTGCGCTGAGTAGAACTGAAAAGCCTCGAGAACAACTTTCCGACAGGACGGGATGCTGTTCACATATTTTACAGCTTCCGCAAACTCATCCGGGTCGATGTAGGTGTAGCGGATTTTACTCAACAGCCTGTGTGCGAAGTGTACCCTCATGTCCGCCTCGCCTTCGACCCAGCGGAAGATGGCAAGGAAGGCGTCGACCTCCCTGGGAACTGAAAGTTCGTCGTCCCCCAAAATGCTTTCCAGCTGCGCCACATCCTGGGTGTAAAAGCTACGGGTGTTCATCACCGACATGAAGTTCGCAAGGACGAACTGTCGGACGGTCTTGTTAACTCCCCCGAGCCAGTACTGGTAATGTGACGTCACCCACAGACAGTCGAGGCATGTTTCTAGGTCGAATGTCTTGAGAAAGTCCCGGCATTTCTCGATGATGGCGGGGACGATCAGCTCGTCACACGCGCCCATGATTTCCATGACGTTACTGAAGGTGATGCGCAGTTCGGATGTGTACATGAAGTCCAAGATGGCGGACATTGCCGAGAAGCTCATCCTACTCTCGTCCAGGGAAATGTGGTAAGGTACTTCTCTGTACTCCTCGGCTGTTTCAAACATCTGGAAAAAACACAGGACACAATGGCGCTCGAGATAAGATCCATATTTTACACGTGCACGTCAACGTAAGCTATATGTGCCAACTAATATATTGATACATACATGATTCAGTTAAGCCGAAGTACAGCTCTTCTACTTAAACAGTGGATTTGAACTTCATCGGTAGCATTGAGTTTGGACAAGATCACTACATCAGAATATAAAGTATACATTTGTACATAGAATACTAGTGCGGAAAATAAGTCCTCAAGCCTTGTTTACCTGTTTTAATCGCCCGCTGAAACTCGCCAAGGCAACGCTATGAGCCGGGAACGTCTGATCGCCAACCTCCAGCACTACATCACAGAGAGCGCCCGACCTTCTCCACGCGTCCAGGTTGTTGACGACGTGGCAGCAGTGCGCCAACTTCTCCGCTTCTGCGTCCATCACTCACACTGATTCAGCGTAGCTTTGTTGGGAAAGTTTTACGGTTTCAAAACATTCCATGTCTCCACAGGCGTCTTTGTTTCGTCATAAGTGTGTACCATAATATTCTATTCGAGAGAGCATTCTAGAACATTAACATTTAGTTTCTATTCCATTGACTAACACTGGTAGTCCGGGGAAATAAGGACATTAGCTAGGAGACGCTGTATATTATAGAAACAATCATAGAAGGTCCTGTGTGCATAATGAAGTAGAATAGAAATCGTTCTTTTCTCTCTAGAATGATTTAACTTGTGTGCGTTTATTTTCTCTCTTTCATTCAAAACGCTACAATTTTCTATGTTCGTTTGGGCCAGTCGATACCAGGTATAACTGTTAGTGTTACTGTTCAAATTTTTAATACTTTTGTTTTTCACAGACCAGCCTAATCTCTATGCTACATGCAATGTTACATGCACTTGAGTAACAGTAGTGTTCTGTATGTCGTTTCTTTGTGTTTTTTTTTTTTTTCTGCTCAATTGCCACTCCCCACGCATGCACACATAGGGTTATCAGTATAGGGTAAAAATCATGTTTTGTTTATACAGACTGTACTAAGCGTGTCAGCCAAATTGATTTCTTTCACCATTTCCTGCTAGGTTAGTTTTAGGTGTCGTCGTTTTGTTGGTGGGGTGGATTTGTGAACAGAAAAGGTGTGAAAGGGAGATAATTATGCCTTTGAGGCATGTTAACAGCAGATTAATGAATGAAAATGACGAAAATCGTTCTGTAGCGCACTTCTGTTATTGCATGGCTTTTGTCCGTTGATGCCCCGCCCACCCATACACCTGTTACCTATTGTTGGCGGGAAACGCGACAGCCAATCAGCGCCACCGGGATGTTGACGTAATGGAACTACCATGGCGGCAGACAAGCTTCCACTTGCTGGGTAAAGTGGGGTCAAACTGGCGATCGTAGTCGACCTGGTGCGCCCACCGGGGCTTTCTCGGTCCTAGCAGGTTGTTGGAAGGGACAACAACGCCGAGAAAAAGTTACAAAGCGTCGGGTCGTGGAGAGAGCTCGACCGGAGGGATTTCGAATCACGGTACGTACTGGAGGGGGAGGGGGGCGGAACTCGAACAGAACGTAAAAGTTTACATGGTAACGTTTACTTCGCTGTACAACATGTTTTTGTCGGTCACGGCTCGCAATAACTGTACGTCTCGTTCTTTGTCGCTCGGTAGGTATCAGGAAATTTTCAGGAATGTATAGAAGGTGGTGGAAGCTAATAGCCTATAGTATTGTCTAGTAATAATTTTTCGGAGTCTAATTATTCTTATCCTGTGCCAGTGGTATGTGCCGGTAGTCTTCACCAACAAACATCGTTAGAAATGAATGTCCGGGCTAGGAAGCTTGCATACGTCCCAAGAGACTTGAACTCTATGGACAGAATTTTCAAAATCAGTTTGACAAAGCAGCAGCTACAAGCAGGACAGGTAACTGCCGTGACAGGTGGTTTACGTTGTCTAATATGCCAGCCCCCTCCATAATTTGATCCAATTTTATGGAAAACCAATCAAACACGGGGCTGCTAGTTAAGTGTAGTTATTAACATTCGGAATTATGGTATCTTTGAAGTGCTGCAGAGGCACATGAAACAGGTGGTGGGCCCATATATGCTACAGTCAATAATTCATACCTGATGACATGGAAGAAAAATTGCACCTTTCAAAACCATAAAAGGTATCTCCCTGTTGCATTGTGGGTGGATCAAGATTGCTGCCTTTGTTGTGCACCAGTCGGGTTCTGTTCATATCATGACCCGTTTCACGCTTGTTTTCCCTGTGCAGTGATGTGACGGGCCGTGGCATGGCGGCACATGGGAGTCCAACCGGGGGAAATGCTAAGCTCGATGCCTTCCTGCGACGCAGCTTCGACCCACGGCAGTACGACAGGGTGCTGGCCACGCACAAGTGTATCGTGGACAAGAACTTCAGTTTTGTCATCCTGACAGATGACTGTGTGTACTTGACGGAGAATCCTCCACGTGTCATCCAGCCAGCTGTGCAGCTGAAAGACATTGTATCAATCAGACTGGTAGGTGTGAAATTCATTGTCTTGTAGTGTGACGTGTGAAATCTATAGTATCGATGTGTGAAACACCATATGGATGTCTATGTTCGTTAGAGATCTTAGGATACAGGAAGCATGCCAGTCTCTGTTAAACAGGTTTGTTTGCTGAGCCTATGGCTAGCAAAGGTGAAGTCACAAAGGGAAAGGAAGTAGTCTATGAGAATTCACCTAGATTTTAGAAGAAAATGCTTCAAGTTTGAGTCTTTGCTAGTTTGTGATACAGTAGAATATCATATTCAATATGTTTGGTCTGTCAAGTTGTACAGGATGATAATACATTTAGGATATATATGTAATACCTACATTGAAAGTGCTACGTATTTAAAATGCCTATGGAAGAAACTCAAAAAGTCCAATTGTTTTCCTCTCTATTGTTGCATTTAACATATTACAGAAAAGTGTGAAATAATCTGCGGAAATTAGAATGGCTTTATGTAAGAAGCACAGGTGGTGCAAGAGTTTGTAATGCCCTCATGTCAAAGCCATTTCACATGCGGTTCACAACAACACCATGAAAAGCCACTCCAGGTCTAATTTTTGAGAACCACTTACTGAATGGCAGAAGGTCATTCGCTGTAATTTGTCTGGTGAATTCTCAAGCCCAAACATTTCAGTCTGCTGCTGTAACAAGGATAATTGAGATCAGATCTTGGGAACTGTACATTGTTACATTGAAATATCTTTAGGTGTGCTTGTTTTTGTTATAGCACGTGACAGGGTTGTAACTCACTTGATTATGGCTCAAAGTACCCAAATATAAGCTGAAATTTTGTGAAAATTTGCAGGTTTGCAGAAAAGAAAATCACCACCTTGCCACTTTGCACAGTCACACAATACACACAGGAAGGCTAAGTGAATGATTCACATTGTGCAAGAAATAGAAAAAACATTTTTCCAGCCATGTCACTGCCAGACTCCATTTGACTACTATAATTCACCTTTATAGCATCTAGTATCACATTGTTTAGACAACAATGGACTCTATTGAAGAAAAACATTCTTTGTTGTTGCTGTCCACAAAAGCAGGTACAGAAACCTGCATGCCGTGTACATGCGACACGTCTCAGTATGCTGTAAGCCTCTATTTTTGATGCCATTTCTCAATACATCTTTTGTGTGTTGAACATGCATGGCGTGTAAATGAAGGTGGTGTCTGCAGGCTGGAGCTTACTGAGTTACAGTGTACACAGCCCTGTCATGTACTACTATAATCTGTGCTGAATGGTACACTGGAAACCTTGACATGTATGCAGTGGTTTTATTTTTGCATTACTTTTTGCAACCTCTTACTTAAGCAGCACTTAAAGCACTATGAAAACCTCCTTTTCACTCCCACTGCAAAAGAAAGTCCCCGCAAAAATTAAAATATCCCTTACAGCACAGCTTTTGGCAGAGCATTCCTGACAATATATGTAGAGCGAGGAAAGAAATCTTGACATAATCCAGTAGGCTCACTGCTGTAACATACTGATATGATTGTGATTTGATTTACTTCATTAATTTTTATGACTGGGTGGTACTTTTGATGAACCAAGGATATTCTACAGGTGATGGAAGCTCCTTGGATGAAAATAAAACTTTCTCCCATGACATTCGAGTATGGTTTTGGAACCTGGAGTGAATAGCTCCAATCTATCAATCAATCATTGGTTATAGCCTAAGTCTAGTTTTTTTGTCAAAACTTAAACTGTGTACCCTATCTACTTCTTCTGTACATGTCCCCAAGGGCCTAATAAACTACAATCCAAGTGTGATAGAACTTCAAAGCTTGGGTTGTCAAAACAGCTCCCCACAATCTGCAGGTTGCCAGGAAATAATGTAATCTCTGTGATATATCTTGGCATGGAAACCAAACAGATGGAACTTTCAATCCAGATGTTCTCTTATTAAATTCTAACATCTCGTTTATTTATTATTACATGGGAATGTTCGATTTAACTTATTTCTTTACTTTTTTGCCTATTATAACAAAGTGGATGTTTTGACTTTCATAACTTGTAGTGTACAGATTCTGCAATATTGTCACCATATGTTGAGTACCTGATGTTGGTATAATTTCTGGAATAATGTACAAAATTAATGTATTTCATGAAATGTTACTTGTACATGCAGTCCATTGCATCTACCTCAGTCTATATGTTCCATGCATCATTACACCATGCTTGTACACCTGTCAAGGACATAATAATTACACAACCTTAATTACCTCTGCCAGAAGGTCATGTTTTCATTTTTAGCTAGGTGGGTGTATATAGGGCAGGCAGCATAACTCTTGAAGCCATTGATGGATATTCATGATTTTCGGTAGGCAAGTTACTGTTGGGGAGATGGGCCATGTGGTGGGAATCCTATACGTTATAACGTTACTGCAGTGTACCTTTTGTATTTGTTGATTTATTTATGAACAGGATAACTCATTTGTATATGGGATGACTTCATGTATGAGAATCTAGTGAGACAGACAATCCCATTCATCCAGCACAGTAACTACATTATATCTCTTGGAATGCTGAAGACTGGTAGGGACACTTCAACACAGGAGTCACAGTGAGTTCAGTACAAACACATTCCTGCTCAACAGGTAATCCAGAACCATTAGTAACTGGGGGTAGCCAGGCAGTGTGTTGGCATTCTCTTTATTTGCGCTCTCTGTTTGAGGGAGAACTTTGATCACAGTTAAACAATGGCGGGGCAATAGAACAGGTAGATTATTCACAAATATAAAGTTGTACTGTTTGCAGTTGGCTGTTTATCATCTGGTAAAGCTATTAATTTTGTGAACAAGATGATACAGGTGTATGTGGGGACACCTGTGGTTGAGGTTCTTTTAAACTGTTGTACAACTTTATGTATATTTTGCATTGTCTATTATGTACCTAATGCAGGTTTTCCTGTAACTTCATTACCAAAAGGTGATGAAAGGCAGCATAACAACTCAATTCAGCAGCAGGAGCACAATAAACTTTACCTGTCAGCGGCTGCTTTCAAGCTCAAGTTCAGTTTACCTACCACATAATGTACTTACCGTGTAATAATTACATGTACTAATATAAAATGTTTGAAAGTGAGATACTGTAAGGTGATTACCCAGAGCCAACACAAATGGGGTATTTCCTCATAAAGCCGGGTTAATCTAATAAGTAAAGGTTCTGCCATCCCATTGGTTAGGCAGTTAAAGTGATTAGCTTAACCTTAGATCTACTTATGTTTGGGAATGTTTGTAGGCTTTGCTGGGAAGATGGGGTTTAAAGCAAAATATAGTGCCTGTAAAAGCGTTGAATTCGATAATATACTCTATAGTACCTTTTCCTTCTTGTTCTGTACTTTCCCCTCAAAGTTTTATCGTTAGCCTTATTGTACCAAATCTCTCTTCTTCACCCCAACCCTCCATAACAACCTAAACAAATGTCCCATACTGAACTGAGTACTTCTTTTCTTGCATGCTTTGTGCACATATGTCTTAATGTCTGTCACTACTGCCAGACTCAGTGCCCTTTTTTATCCTGCTGCTGCTTTCTATCTGTTGGCATTGTTCATTTCTTGTGGGGAAACCATATGTGAACTCAGGTGCCAGCAAAATCAATAATTGAGTTTTTTCAGGGTTACTCGGGTGATAATTACACAGCCAGTAGGTCTCAACAAGGAGGTTATAGTCTGCCTGTAACCTCCTGGATTTCAATCTTCTATAGCAGGGCTGGAAAAAAATGATTTGTAATTATCATGCTCAGGATTAAGCAGACAGGATTAAAATGAAGACAGTCATTTGAAGATAAAAGATAATAATAATATCATGCAAAGACCTGATTATTCTCAAGTTGTTTCAAGAATTTGAAGACAAGCCCAGACATTATAATTTATAGTAGGAGACATATAGATTCTACAGCTCAGTTAAAAAGTAGGGTAATTGTAGAGAGCAGCTGCCCTGTTGCGTGCCACAATGCTTTTACTTGACGCCACACCCTGCAGTTCCTTGAGCAGCTACTTAACAACCTAGCAACAAAATACAACATTGCAACTGTCGTATAAACTGTAATCCCAGTGGATTAAACCTGTTTTCTGTCTGGAGTTGTCTTCTCTATTTTAAAGTCGGGTGCTTAATTTCAAGGACTTTCTGATACAAATTGATATTTTTAGTATATTACTGTACAGGTGTCTGTTGTACAGGTGTCTACTGTACAGGTGTCTACTGCCCATTGAAAAATTGGAAGGTCAGATTTGTAACATTATAATGAATTAAAGAATTAAATTTACAGTGCATTTGCCTTTTCTTTCTGTCATTTACTACTCCAGGGCCATTTCAGACAATGGAATAGGAAATGTCTTCATATTTATACATTGTTTACACCGCGTCCTTGCACTGCAATTCTACATCCTTGATAAATTGTCTCAGAAGTAGGGCAATGTTTGTTAAGCTTAACCTGTTGTCATGGGCATGTTGTAAATAGGAAACATTATGACATCTGGCAAGGTGACATAATTGTTCAGGAGCATTTGTTTTTATTTGGAAGGACAACTGGTCAAAGTTGTTAGTTGAGTATTACTTCATTACTGGTGATTCATATGACAATGACTGCTACATTTGTACATGTACCTGTCCCTCAGTATATTGCCAAGATGGTATGCAGTAAAATATTTTGAGCCTTCTGGTTCTGAAAATCATGTATGCATTTTTCACACAATTCTCATATGCATCATAGAAAGGAAAACGTATCTCTATCTATTTTGAACTTGACTTCTAGAATCAGGGTTGTTAAACATTGAGTGATGTTATATATTGTACACAAGATAATGGTGTGCATGTATCATTGATATGTTTGAACAACAAACAATGAAATGACCAGACGTTACATCAGGGCCTATTTTCCACCAGAATGAATAATTTATGCTCTATGTGGTAAATTCTCAATGACTTATTCTTTCCAAAAAATTTGACAATAACCAGAACTTCTACCACGTGGGTTGCAATTTATGGACAAGCCATTCAGAATATAGATGACAATGAATCAACTTTTCATAGAGAATAGGTCAATATGTGAATGATAATGAAAACAATATTAGTTGTAAATATGAAAGCTATTTATATCTAGGTCACAGAATCTGTGTCAGGATGTTTAAGCTTACATATAAGCCCCCCTCATCTTTGATGTAAGTGCAGTGAACATAGTAGATTGTTTGCACATTTAGTTTACAGACCCAACAGTTGCTGTGTCAACCTGTTGAAACTTTTGTCATCATCATTTGCTGAGCAACCTCTTGATATGTGTTAACACAGTAAATATTGCTGTGAGAAGAGGTAAACATTACATGGAAACTTTATAAGCAGTTGCAATTGACCACTCTGATACACAAACATGTGTGTGAAAATACCAAACGTCTTGTACATAAGCTAATATTGGATACTACTACTACTAGTAGTCTACTACTATATGTCATTTTCTGTAACCCTGGCTAATGTTTGACTAGGGTAAACTCAATGGTAGTTGCTAATTAATGACAGTCACAGTTCACTCGCATAAATTGCATACTAGTACATGTATATACTATATAGTAATCAATGTCACCAGGCCTAACTGTAATATCAATAATGGGGTTACTAAATTGTTCTTGTCCTTTGCTCAGATCAATGACTTTCCTGACTTCCTGGGAGGGGATCAACAGGCAGAGACTCAGCACATCTGCATACGCCATGGCGCCCAGCCTCGCACGCCGTCCCTCCCTCCCAGTCCATCCACGCCAATGAGGAGTCCGCACCAGCTCTCCGTCCCGGACCCCTTCGATACGACGGAGAATTCACCCTCTCAGAAGAAGGAGAAGAAAGCGCGTCGGACGTCGTCCAAACTCAGCGTCAGTTTCAACGAAGCGTCCTTGCAGGCGGCAAAACGGGAGTCAGAGGGAGACGTCCCGAAGAAGGCCAAACTCTCCCACTCCCTGCCGACGTCTCAGCTCAGGAATCTAACTTTAGAGAAGGAGGAGATCGAGCAGCAGCAGAGAAGAGTGGGTTCAGCCGGGCGAGACTCACGCCCGCTCCCCAACCCTCCCCCTAGTCCAAACAACACTAAAAATAGCAATAAAACAAAAAGACCCTTGCCCTTACCCCTGGGGCTTGACAAGGGAGACGGTAGACTGAAACCCCCTGGTCGGAGAGGCAGCTCATCAAAAAACTCTGAAGCAGCGTCAGCGTCCAATACGGGATCTTTGCGGTCGCTGGGGTCAGACTCATCTGACGGATCTGAGGACTGGGATTCCTGGGATGAAGAGCTCCACCTGTACATGCTGTCTGCAGACTCTCCTATGCTGATGCAGCTGCGCTCGGCATGGAATGCCCATCTCATTGTGAGTTACAGCTGAGCTGTATCAATTAACATGAACCTGTCAACCTACTGGTTGGACAGTAAATTTGGAATGTTTGTCTATGTTAGTATGTAAAGAGTGATGTGTCAGTTTGATTGATATATTTATTGGTAGTAAAGCCTACTGTACTGATAAGGTATTATATGTTTTCCATAGCATGCCACCAACAACCTGAATGAAGACAGCCCCCAGGGTACACCCACAGCAGCAGGAACTGGCAGGTATGTGTGTACAGTTTGTCACTGTACAATGCAGCTCTAACTCATGTTCTCATGCATGTACATGTAATTTAGTTCACTACATTTTTAAGGGCATTTTTTCAAGGTATACTAAAAAAAGGGCTCACTTTAGATGTCAGATAGTATTAAATAGTCCCTCTTATATAGATATGCACACACAATACATGTAAATATGTAGATACACATACAACTTTACAAGTTTGTGTGCCAAATGATATTTCCTTTACATTTAAGTGATGTGTCATGCTTATTATGCATAATGTTGCCAACATGTATAATGTATTTACAAACTGAGACATTATGATACCAATATGGAGTTAAGTGCATGGAGTGTACAACTCCTTCACCATCATTATTTCTAACGCTGTTGTTGAATCAAGTGTTACTCGTTCTAATCCCATTGCAGCAAGCAGCTGGAGCTGCTGTTTCAGCAGTTGAAGCGAGAGCTGTTGGGAGATGACAGTGGGATAGAGCTGGTGTTCAGTCTGTTACAGGAGCTCAACACGGCCGCACAAAGATACTTCACGCTCAAGAAACTGTTCTGGAAGGTAAAGATGCACCATGCATTTGTTGACCTGTACCATTAAGTGATAGGATGCATGACCAAAGTTGGGTACCTTCTGACTCAAATGCCATAAAAACTCTATTGACTTGACTGTGTCCTCAATTGTTTGACTCATATTGTTTTGCCCTTCAGTCAGGGGACTTGTTTCAGTTCCTGATTAAACAGCTGCAGAAGTACCTGCCCGGCACCACGCCCATGACACATGGACAGAGGAACAACAGGGCCGACGAGTTAGAGTGAGTATTCTCCAGACTTGTATTCTTCAAACTGATGTTGATTGTAGGGCTGGTCACAGAAGTAGATTTTTCTGTGACCAACCCTATGATACAATTCTGCATACGCTGTTTCGTCTGACAGTGTTTGATATTCTCTTCTACAAGACTCAGGTGACCCTGGTCTTCCTCACTCTCTAATTAACCTCCACAGTGGAGTAACGTCATTCTCTAAATATCCTCCACAATGAAGTAACCTTCATTTGCATGTTGATTTCCGCAGGTTGTCCATTCAGGTTGCAGAGACCCTGTGCACCATGTTCAGGGGTACGACTGTGCTGCCTTCACGGGTTGTTGTTCTCAATTCAACCAGGTAAAAACCTTTCATGTACTATAAATGTGAGGTACATGTAACTGAGAATATATGGGGAAGTAAATCACAATCTCATGAAGATTGTCCTCAAATAAAATATTTCAATTGTTTGTGTGAAAACGTTACATGATTGCCCTTAAATGTGTAGCTTTTACTGCTTTTTAAATGACTGTTCCCTGCTGTGCCAGTGAAAAGAGATGTGCATGTGAATCCACAGGGGGAAACACGTGCGTAACCTGTTTGAGATGCTGGTGTGTAGTCCCGGGGGGATCCGAGCACGCAGCCCTCGCACTCAGGCCCTCAGAACCTCCCTCAACATCCAACACCCAGAGGACCCAGAGGTCAGTGAACCCTGCAGGCTATTCCATTACAGAAGTTTCATAGGGGCTTTTATTGTTTTTTTGTCAATATAAAAGAAATGGTGATTTGTAAGATTTACATAAAAGAATGGTGCTTTACAACAATGTTTATTTTCTGAATCCTACTTAAAGCATCTAAAATCAGATACATGTAGTACTGATACAATGTCACGGTTATTAAAGATTATACAGTGTTCAATTCTGTTGAATGTGCATGTATTTTCATTTTCTGCGGTTATCAAATGTATAATAAAAAGATATTTGAACATAAACATTTTCCTTGCTATTTTTCATTACTAACCAGTGGCATTTTTTTTTCTAAAGGTCCAGAGCCTGATTCGGCACTACTCTGAAGTAGCCACGTCTGTCCTGTTTGAAATCATCCTCATCGCCCACGAGGTTTGTAGAATTCTCATATTTCGTATGCATATCTACATGGCACAAAGAAATTGATTCAGCTCTCATATGCCATTTGGCACTGTATGATATTGTTTTTGTATCAATTGTGTTGATTCTGAAATTTTCTGCTGAATGAAACACAATGATGTTGGTTTTCTGTAGGCTGGATCAGCAGATAGTGACAGTAACATGCTGAACTTGACCTGGGTCTTGCTGGTGTTGGAGAACATGCAACAGTCTGTAAGTATTGTTCATCCTGTAAGTTTATCTAATCAGAGAGTTAAAAAATCTACAGTAAAAACTTTACTGTCATGTGAAACCTGTCCTTGGTGCTGAACCTGTCCTTGGTGCTGAACCTGTTGAACGTGTTATTCCAAAAAAGAATGTATAGTTTTCCTTGTCTGCTATTTGTGGAACAAGTTTTTTTTTTATCAAGATAACCTAAAAACTTAACTATCTTGATAAACCTGTCCTTGGTGCTGAACCTGTCTGTTATCTGTAGAACAAATTTCTTTTTTTAGTAAGAACCTAAGGAACTCTTTGATAATCTTTCTCATGATATACTACTGCAGTATTTTTTTTCACATACAAAAATGTATCTTTTATAGAAAGATTATTTGGATAGGGGGCAGTGGACAGAGTGTGAAATATGTACTAACTTTGGTTACAGGCTTGCTTTGTCCTTCTATTAAGTGTTTTAAAACCTTTTTCCTACCTGTAGGTGAGCTTCATCAATGTGCTAGTTGCGAGTGCAATGAGGCTCCTGTCTCCGTCCACCCCCCTCCCCCTCTCCCCATCCCAGGCCATCCTGGTCTTCCAGCAGTTCTACCTTCTCAGCACCTTCATCCAGTACGGCTCCACTCTTGCCAACCACATCAGGGACAACTTCACCGAGGAGTTCAGGTGAGGAACAAAGGATACATCTTGGGCCTAGGAAAAAAAAATTGTGTTTCCTGTTTCCGTCCTGAAAAAAATTAAGGTCAGTAGGAATATCTTTGGGATTATCTTGTACACCAACATTTTGCACAACATGTTTCTCATTGTGTTCTTTGTTTCCTTTTGCCAGGTACTTCATCACTTGGCCGGTGGTTCAAGAAAAGTTGCCCATGTATTACCCCATCAGCAGACTTGCCCAAAAGCTGATACGACAGGTCACCATATTTGTGCAGCAGAAACGTCACTAGGGGCTTGCCTATGGCATGAGATGGCATGTAATCCCGCCTAACCTCAAGGCTCTATAGTTTACCAATGAAGTTAGTTATAACATGTTCAGATATAACCACCCTGCTCCAAGAATGGTGTGTTCCTCTTCGGCTGTTTGTGTCCCATATTTGCTGAATGGAACACAACATCCCAAGAAATGGAGGAGGGAGGAATAGCCTCTGGTGCCCAGATGTGAAAAAGGGTTGTTGACCATGGACGCAACATGTCATAAAGACAATGCTTTTCCCCCCTTGAGACACTGTGTTGCCATCCAAACACCCATGATGTTGCAGACATACAGATCAAACCATTCACGAACAGGGATGTTGCAGAAGACAAGCAAAATAACCAGCAAATGCCAAGAGACCAGCAAAGTTTTACATTCAAATAGGAACAACATCACAAAGTCAAATAGGAACAATGTAACAAAATCATCATTTCTTCAACAATGTTGATGTGTTAGTTACATGAAGAAAGTTAGAATGGCAAACAAATACCAGCTTTTACAAGTGGAGGTTTAATTTGCTAAAGAGTTGCATTGTTGCAATACAGTATCAATCCAAGTGTTCGAGGATGACATTATTCATAAACATGTCATCCTGGCTTTCCTTGGTCCAACTTTTACAAAACTCTTTTGCCCAACAATTAGATGACCAAGCACACTATGCAGCATACTAAAAATTGCAATACTGACAAAAAACATCTACTAGATTGTTTAAGTACAGTAAATTAAAAAGCAATAGATATGAATCAACATTCCATAAAATCAACACTGACTTACAGTTTGATGCAATAGTACAATGTATAATATTATGTAACAGGAACAAGAATAACTCTGGACTAAACATATTGGGCACTTTCTGAACGTATTTCATAAATTTCAGTTTTCAAAGCTGTTTGCTTGACCTTGAGTCATGAGACATACTAATTAGAACTGCATTTTAATTTGTCCAATTGTGATAATTTATAAACATCAGTACCTCAACATTGGCAGATGTAGCAACGTGAGACAACTGTTCTTCTCTTCCTACATATCTTATCTCAATGTTGTTACAGTTATGGCTTCTTGTATGACGGAATCAGAATCTATGTCTTTTTACCTCTACATACATCTTGACAGGCTTCCACCGGCTGCTTTTTGCAAATAAAAGATGTTGCTTGTCTAGGAAGTAACAGTTCATATGTTAGGACAATGTTTTTGACTGTTGCATCTCCATCCATGCTTCTCTACTTCCAATGGTTTGTTGTACATGTAGTTCAGTTACAGTTTACATGGTCTTCCAACAACTGTAACCATTGCTTTGACCAAGGTCTTTCATTAACCCAAGACGCCTGCAGGACAAAGTACAATATACAAAATATATATATACATGCTAATACTAGTAACCCTTTGCCTACCAAGGGTGACATTTGTTCTTGATGTCACAGGTGGCACTGAAAAATTAATTAAGCAAATGACGCAAGAGATAAAGTCAACATAGAACACAGTGTAGTTTCTTGTCGAAATGTAAGGTCCCATTCAATAAGGAGGCATATCAACCATGCATTTTGGTTGTATCAGTCATGTCCTGTGATGCCTCTTTCAATGCAAATTCAAGATCAGCATGGCATACAACTGTTTTTCAGAAAGTGCCATGAAAGCCATGTTTCCATAGCTCAACTTTTCCAGCTGTTCAAATGCAGTCGTTCTTATGAAACTTGGGGACATTGGCCTGAAGTCCTCTTGCTGTGCTGCTATGTCAAAATAGGATATGGTTTTATGATTCAAAATATGGTTTTCATCCCATTGACAGGAGCATATGGTAAATATGCTGTTGATTTTATCAATTAATTTGTCCTGCTTGGCTGTCTACCCCAAGGTTTTTAGTACATGACTGCATATTTTGAAGATATATAAATGCTTTGCTGTTCTGTTGTCATCAAACAGTTATCTATCAGTACATCTGTTTCACATCAGTTTTTTTAACAATAATAGGAATTTAAATCGTGTTGGCATTTTAAAGGCAAATTTGATACTGTTCCATCATGTCTCTTACAATTTTTACCTGTTTCTGTGTGATTTATGTTCAAGAGTTTGATTTTATGAACAAAAATTCTTGGTATTGAAGAAACTTGAATTTTATCAATAGAGGTACATATATAAAATACATTTCTTGGAGAAAGTATATTTGTAAATTTTGAGGCCGTAATGTTGGGAAGTTCTTAACTTAGATGGTATGTGTTACATATTTAACATTGTGTACTGTTTGGGATGCTCCCAAGTCCCAACAATTTTGTTATCTTCTGTGGAAGATATTATGCGCTATCTGTCCACAAGTCAGTGACAGTACATTGACGTACAAAACGTACAAGGCAGAACAATTAGAAAAGAGAGTTGTAATGTCATTCTTGTAACATTGTGTAACTGTAAAATCTGGGAACCAATGACATTGCAGCTCCATAAAGTCATGTATGGGTAGCCAATGACATTCCAGAACTGCAATATAGGTGCATTCTTTTGATTCTGTTTAAATTGCCCACTTCCAAAATCTGTCAACAACCAACCTATTGACAATGAACACTCATAATGTGTTCTATGTAATGCAATAATTGATTATAATAGTATGATAACAGTAATTTTCTTGTAGCTTATTAATGTGGTTATTGACATGGTATTTGTCATGTGGATTAGCTTACAAATGAAATAAAAGTAGACATGTATTCAGACATTTTGGAGATGAAAAATCCAAAGAAATAGACATTTATTGATGTATCTCATTTTAGAAATGAGACAAATTGATCTAATATACGTTTTCAGGACTTCTATTACAGATGTTACAGAGAAAGTTTCCTTCAAATCTACATACCATTAAAGAGATGTACATGTTCTATACAATGTCTCATTGTCATGAAGTAAGCTATTTCATATATACATGTAATTGAACTCAAGTCATAATTACATCTGCTCCTTGATAACTGAACACTTCCAGGATAACTATAAGCAATATTTATCATAACATCAACATTGGAAAATAGTATTGTGCATACATATTTTCTCTGATCATCTACATTCTATATGTTGAAGACATTTTTACCATGAGATACATCAGGATTCCGACAGACTTACGTTTGATACTGATATTTTCTACCAACCTAGGTTGCAATGTGTATCATGTGTATATCAAGTCTTGCCAAAGAGTTAAGTCATTTTGCTTCAAGTCATGCTTTGTGTTGTGTTGGTCAATTCTGTTGTGAGAATGAAGCAAATGGTACACCCAGTGCTGAATTTTGAAGAAACTGTTGGGAACAGCATCAACATGTATTTTACAAGTAGTGCAATTTTTGCATGGTAGTCAGTATGGCTTGCAATATCTCAGCCCAAGAGGAATTGTACAGAATAGGAAAGTGATGTTTGTATCAAGTAAAGTTCTGGACTTCTGAGTTGTCATGAATCCTGAGTTCAAAGTCTCTGTTGGGATAATAAATACCATAGAGGAGGAGGATTCTCCATGTGTGCTTTTGTAGACACTGTAATACCATAAAGTACATTCCACTCTAAGACTTCTATTATTTTTGGTCACAAGTGATTATTTAAGTATTTTGTGTAAAAGCTGGGACCATGCAGATTTAATTATATGGGATCATCCTCTGGCCACCTTAAAACCGTATTTCGCATAGCGTGTTTTTCCAGAATACATTTTGGAATGGACCACGTTTTGGAACACAACACAACATGATATCCACTTCTTATTATTTAAAGAAATATTTTGGAATGGGACACATTTTGGAATGCAAAAAGGCAGGATCATGTGCTGACAGCAGTGTAACTTAATCAGACTAGTTGGGAATGAACATTCCTCGAGTTGGTTGTTTCGGAGGACAATAAAATGACGGGAGTCCTCCGCTCGAGTTTCGACACAACCACCTCCCTCAGCCGGTACAGTCCGTACGACAGGAGATGGAACACGGGCGCACCAACGAACACGAACGCCACCATGACCCCTGACGCCATCCCTGGGCTGTTCCCGAAATCCATAACCGCATAGATAGCTGTGGCCCCGTCTCGCCCCTTCCCGCCTGCGGCCCAGTAGATGACATAGAACACTGCGTACGTCGCTGCGTAGGCTACTGGGTAGATCACGTTTAGGATCCTCACTGGAGTCCCACTCAAGGAGAGGTCCAGAAGGGCGATGACGGAGTTTACGACATGCTCAAATATGCTGCTGACCGACACGGTGGCTCTGTCCAACGTCCAGTAGACCGTCGTCACAAGGAAGGCCGCCGCGATGCTGGTGTTGTGCAGGACCCAGTGGACTTTGTGGTACCAGGCCGGTCCGCTGCTGCTCTGGACTGCGTCATCATCATTATCACGTCCTATTTCAGTCATCGGAACGGCTTCTTCCATGCCTGCGTCCCCGGGGCTAGAGTTTTCAGACGTGTTGTCCACAGTGGTCGGTCCTGTGCCTTTTTGTTTCGACAGGAAGTCCACGACGCAGACGGCCAACGCCACCAGCATGTGCGCGGTGAGGATGGTGAAGCTCCAGTTGGTCAGGGCGACGGGCCAGGGGTCGGACCGGCCCTGCACGTGGTAGTGGTAGACCAGCAGGAACACCAGAACAGCCAGCGTCAGGACTGCTATAAGCGACTTGTACACCACAAAGCCTACCTGCCCGCGCCACCACTGTAAAATATAGTTATGAAGACGAATATGTTAATAGTGTCATTGACGAATTTGTATCATTACTTAGATATTACTGTTGTTTTGGGTAAATATAATGTCCATAGACAATGAAACTATCGCTGATTCGATAGTTTCCATAACTTACGGCATCTTTCACTCACTTATAGTATGTACAAGTTGATGCCGTCAAAATTATTACTTGTGACTGGTGTCTAGGAGGTGTTTTATCTACAACTTTATATATACTGTATCAATCATCGCAAGAAAAAGTACACTGCTTTCTTTGGTTTGTTTTCGTCATTATAAAGTGTTTGTTTTCATTTAAGTATCACTGACACCATCACTGCAGTAACACGCCGTGGTAATTATAATTCGGTCGTGATAAAGAAAAAAATAAATGACAAATGTGATGTGTCTCCTCTCGTTTTGTTATTTTTAACGTTTGCCACTGAAAGATATATTATACTATGATCCATCTCTGTAAACCTACATTAACCTTCTCCCTGCTGTCCTACAACCCTACAACTAATACCGATATCGATTGGTGCCAGACGCCGTGCGTAGCCGGCTGCCTTAGCAAGTTGAAGGTTGAACACGAGCTCCCTTAGCAGCTGGCACATACTTGTATATATGCTGCCAGAAAAAAAGAGAGAGTGTCATCCTGTTAATGTTTACTTCCTACTGTAGCCAAAATACTTTAGATTTGTAACGAGTTCTACATACCGGTGATCGGGAGAACACCGAGCGGTCGTGGTGTTGGAGGCGCAGGGCGGCCAGGGAGAACTCCTCTCGGCAGGAAGACATTCTGAAATAGAAAACTTGACTTTGAGGTCCTACAACGCGGGACAGTCTATGTATGTGGCAGACTTGCCGGTCTTTCAAACCAAGGATGTAACCACAATGCCTGGGTACAGGTGACATCTTTGTGTTTGTTTCAGACCACGATGTCTAGTTATTCTGGGTGCTATATCGAATGACACAAGCATTGTTAACGTTTTTTTTTCACCGAAAACATTGCTACGTGTCTTTTCACTTTGCCTTAAGGAGATGAACAACTTGTGAAGATTACACACACCCCTCTCCACGCGAAATTTAGTCGGTCCACTCGTCCATGGCATTCTGCCTTTCGATTCAGTAAAACCAGACCTAACTAGTGTATGCCTTTGGCCTTGACTCAACGGAGCCCTGAGATGACACACTTGGTCGGAATGACTGCTACTTCGTTCGGAATGTCGTCTGGCATGTCAAGGTCGCCGTGACCTCTGCGTGATAACCCACCACAAGTGCCCCCAACACGTTCCTTTACGACCCATCTGCAAACCGTTGCTACCCTCTTATGGCCGTTGCGACCAAATTTGATTTAATTTTCCTCACGGAAGAGAACTTTTTTCAGCCATAAAAAGTGCTTCCAGTCAGAAGTGTCGTCTCCTGGAACCAACTGGGTCTGGAATTGATCTGTACCAGAAGATCTACAGAGCTATAAACCTATAAACTAAACTCATCTGTTGTCAACAGAAACCCAATATTACTTCCCATGAAGATTGTGCTTTGTATTGACGTTGATATGATACAGAAAAATATACTTTTCCGTATGTTGCTTAACGGTTTCCCCCATGATGAACTCCAAATATGTGCGTAAGGCTCCATTTCAGTTCGCCATTATTTTTTAGCATAACAGTTGCACATTCGTACTAGCCTGCTGGGTGCCATCGTTATTGTATACAGGGGCTCCCATACTCACTCCCTGAAATATTTTGGGGGAGCGAGTAGTGGAGTCAGGGTATACAAATGGGGTGGTACCCAGGCTTCGTCAAAATGCAAATATTTTTCATTCAATCGGCTTTGTAATGTGGACGAATTGTTGTTTTATTAACTCGCCCATTTACTACTTGAAAAGCAGGTAGTAAAGGCACGTGCCTGTTACACAAGAAAGTGAAACTGGAAGTATGTGTAATGTTTCAGCGATATCCACTTCCCTAACATCTAAAGCACACAAGTACACAAATAAAATACCCCACAAGTATAATACACACAAGTATAATACCCCACTCCCTATCACTGGATAGCCTGGGTACCATCCGGATTTTCGCTCCGCAACGCTCGAAAAAATCGTGATTTTTTTTAGTGTTGAAATCACTGGAAGCCATCTACCACAAAGTGATTTAGCCCAAGCTTTGAGATAAGCTTTTGCCAAATAAAGGTACACAACTGAGTCATAGTATAATCTAGAGGCTCGGACAAGATCAATGGCTTCCCTTTTATTAATTCACTGGTTTTGGAACAAGGACTGCACTTCGTTTGTTGCTCGTTCAGCAGTGTATCGCACACGTCCGAAAAAAAATGGCGTCGCCAATGACTGTTTCTTCAGATTATATATACATGTATAAGCCAATACCTGTCAGGGTTATGGGTCAATTTAAAAAGATCTGACTTGTAGGGATATCGAGTTTAATCTTCCTTGTTACTATTCTTTACAGTTTATTCCTTGAAAGGGTGAGAATGTAAAGAATACTTCATCTTGGTTGGAGCAGGTTGTGAGGTCGACCACCTGAATTGTGTCTACGAAATCTAGATCTTTAACCCTGTACGTAACAAGTCCCTTCGCTCACCTGTTCGGCTTTGGATGATCTTTTAAAGGCCGAGCTGCAATGATATTTTTAACTGCCAGACAGCGCTTTTGGGCGGTCAAGAATTAGTCTGTCCACAACAGTTGCGTGGGGACGTTAAAATGACTTTACAGATATTGCGCCATTTAGATAATTAGGACGTACATGTAGGCGAAATGTTCGTTATTCAAAACTAGAAATTGTTCAAAACAAAAATTGTTCTTGAAATTTTAGAGGGCAACAATCCAAATTAAATACTAGTACGCGATGTTTATTATTGACCTTCAAAATTACGTTCATATACAGGCATTACTTTAATATGCACTGTTTTTTTTTTCTTGCGAATATGAGCAAAAATGAAAATAGAAACCCTCCCTTGTGAAGCCAAAATTTTCGAATTTTTTAATTTCTAGCTTAGTCAGCGTTGTGAAAACAAATCTTATGCCCCATAAACACTTTTCTGCAGAAATACATTCCTCCAACCCAACATCTGCTTAGAGATTACCGGTGACTTACCTCTAAACATACCCATCATGCCTCACGTGAATTTTGCGCAATATTCAACATCCAAGATGGGGTTACGGCTTCATTTAAGTTGTCCCGAGTATGCAAATGAGGGCGTTCACATGTAAGACATTACACAGCGGTCCCACACGTATGCACCCCTAACTATTCTTGCACATCCTCACATATTCCCACTAATCCTTCCCTTTCCTTACACATCCTCACACACCCTCTGCTATCCTTACACATCCTCTCCCATCCTCCTCTATCCTTACACATCCTCACACATCCTAACCAATCCTCCCCAATCCTTACACATCCTTAGCCATCCTCTCCCATCCTCTCCCATCCTTACACATCCTCTCCCATCCTTACACATCCTCTCCCATCCTTACACATTCTTACCCATCCTCTCCCATCCTTACCCACCCTTACACATTCGTACCCATCCTTACACATTCTAACCCATCCTCTCCCATCCTTTCCGATCCTCTTCCATCCTAACACATTCTATCCCATCCTCTTCCATCCTTACACATTCTAACCCATCCTCTTCCATCCTTACACATTCTAACCCATCCTTACACATTCTAACCTATCCTCTCTCATCCTTACACATTCTAACCCATCCTTACACATTCTAACCTATCCTCTCTCATCCTTACACATTCTAACCCATCCTTACACATTCTAACCCACCCTCTACCATCCTTACACATTCTTACCCATCCTTACACATTCTTACCCATCCTCTCCCATCCTTACACATTCTAACCCATCCTCTCCCATCCTTACACATTCTTACACATCCTCTCCCATCCTTACACATTCTAACCCATCCTCTACCATCCTTACACATTCTTACCCATCCTTACACATTCTTACCCATCCTCTCCCATCCTTACACATTCTTACCCATCCTCTCCCATCCTTACACATTCTTACCCATCCTCTCCCATCCTTACACATTCTTACCCATCCTCTCACATCCTTACACATTCTTACCCATCCTCTCACATCCTTACACATTCTTACCCATCCTCTACCCATCCTCCCTCATCCTGACACATTCTTACCCATCCTCCCTCATCCTGACACATTCTAACCCATCCTCCCGCATCCTGACACATTCTAACCCATCCTCCCGCATCCTGACACATTCTTACCCATCCTTCCTCATCCTGACACATTCTTACCCATCCTTCCTTATCCTGACACATTCTAACCCATCCTCCCGCATCCTGACACATTCTAACCCATCCTCCCGCATCCTGACACATTCTTACCCATCCTTCCTCATCCTGACACATTCTAACCCATCCTCCCGCATCCTCACACATTCTTACCCATCCTCCCCAGATCAAATCATTATACAAAAGGTACGAAATTATACATGGTCATGCTGAAGAAGCAGATTCATTGTATAACTTTGAACCTATAGTTTATTGATAAGAAAACTTATCAATGAAAGGAATATGACCTTCTTCATCATCTATGAAATTTTGGGCGTCGTACGTCAACACACTAGGTTGTTGACCTCATGTCTACATTTTTCCTCTGAATAACACGCACAAACTCGCGTGTAGACAGCAAAATTGGGCAGCAGTACACTGCTGACTGTGGGAGCAGATCTATGTGTTTGTTTGCCCTCCCCACAACACGCAACACAAACAATGAAAATATGTTGGAGTTTGTGATTTTGTGCATTTTTAGTTACGTATCTTTAAAAGCTTCATTTGCCATCAAAACAGTACACAACAGAAAAGTTAACAAACTAAACATGACCCTCAAAATGTAGGCTCGTTCATTGCTATGGTGGAGTGACGTCTGCATATGCTAATGATTATTTCAAGTACAACCTAATTATCACTTCACATTAAGTTCCTTTTACGCTTTTCGTTCCTTCCCTGTGTTTTTTTAAAAGCAATATCAGGCTGGTTTCAGGTAGCCTGGTTACCAACCTATTATAGCTCCTGAATCGTACCGAATTACAGCTCCCGAATCCTACGAATCTTGAGAAGAGGCCATAGATATTACCACTGGGAGG